GTCACAGTTTCGCTTACAGCCAAAATCACTTAGTCATAAAAACCATGTTGGCAAGAAAACATAAATAAGCAGAATGCCGCAGGGGCTGGGCTGGGCGCCCATGGTATTCATCCTCATGCACTCGATGATGTTGGCTGGCAACAAAATACCGACTGTGACGGATAGGCAGGGTCAGTCCAAAATCTATGTGGCAGCCCCACTGCAGTGCCAGCCAAACAACATTATTGTTTTTATTTCACTATAACTAACTAGGATGCCACGTCAAGTGGCATGCCAGAAACTCAGAAATTTACCAATATGAATGCCACGACATCCAAAGTCATATCAAACCAATTTTGAGAGTTTGCTGAGTAAAGTGGGTGGTTTTGGAGTTCAAGGTGATATCTGGACTCAGGAGATAGTTGAGGGGTGTACTAGGCACCTGCCAATTGTCATGGTAAAATATGCTAGTTCCTGTTCTTTGCAGAGAAGAGAAGAATGAGTGCCTAGATAGCAACCTTTTATGCACTGAATTCATTATTTTTCCACAGGGCACAAGAATGCAAGTTTTTGCACTAACTGCACAAGAAACTATATGTGCTCTTTTTCAAGAATTTTAACAATGTAGAATGCTTCATTTTTACGACAGGAGCACATGTTCCCAAGCTCAACTTGGAGTTACCGGTGTTAAATGGTTATAATCCATTCAAAATGCATCACATCGTATCAGAATGCATAATCCCAATAAGCTCGCAGCAAATTTCATGTGAGCATCTCAAGTAGACACTTCATCCAAATTTAATTCAAGTGCTGACCATTGAACAGTCATCACATGCATTGATGCATATTATACAGAATTCAGCCTGATTTATCAAAAAGTACAGGTTTCACCGGATAATCCACCAGCAATCAAGAAAGCGCAGTACAAATGGACCTTACTGGTTACAATTAGCTCTAGTCCTCCCATTTCTCATTACACTTGTTAAAGCGTTCTGTATGATGCAATTGAAATTTGGCATGCTTTGATACCCTCTCTCAATCGTTTGCCCAAAAGAAAAGAAAAGAAAACTATCTCAATGAACTATCTTCCCTGGAAAACCTAGCAGAAACAATACATCAAAAAAACTGTGTCACAAAACCTCTGAAGATACATACCGCGGCAATTCTACCACTTGCATTTGTAAGTAAAAGTCATGTGCCGCTAGGAGCCTATAATATGTCGCACGCAATGGGGTTTTAGTGGGTAACTAGTTCAACAAATGCGGTGTATCACAAGCAATCGAATATAAACAAGCAATGTGATGACACTAAGTAACCACAGCTAAAGATAGCAGCTCTGTTAGAGAGCAAAAAATGAAGGAAAGAAGAGTAACAACGCACTCTGAGCACGAGTCAAGAAGCCGGTCGATATCGTCTGCTGCGCCGCGGCCACCACCGCCGCCGCCAAGGCGCGCCTCCTCCATCTTGTCGATCTCCTTCACCCAAAGCGCAGCGTGCACGCGCTGCTTCCTTGTCCTGTACTCGTCCGCCCCTGCCTTCTTCGCCCCGGCGCCGCCCCCTCCCTCGGCGGCCGTGGGGCGAGGAGGAGCGCGCGGCCGCCTCGTCGCGGCGCGGCGCTCGGCCCAGCGCTCGTCCATGTCGGCGACGAAGGCCTTCGTGTCAGGGTCCACCTCGGCGGATATGGCCGGGACGGTGGCCGCGACGGCTTCCGAGGTGGGGGACTCCCACGGCGCGGCGGGTGCCGGCGAGGAGGCGGGGGAGTCGCCCGGGAGCCATGCGGTCTCCCACGCGTCGTTCCACTCGTCGTCCCCGGTGGCCGCGGCCGGGTGCGCTGGAGCGCGGCGGTGGGATGAGAGGAGGCGGCGGGGGCCGCAGGAGGAGGGCACGGGTAGGCGGAGAATGCGCCTGAGCGACAGCATGCCGTGTGCTCGGCGAAATGCCGACGAGAGGGTTCGATCTGCTTCCCTTCTCTTTCCTTTTTGCGGACGAGAGGTTATTTTTTTTAGGGGCTGCGAGCATAGCTGGCCAAACGGGCCGTGCTAACTGGGCCGGCCTGGTCGCACGCAAGAACGGCACGGCCCAGGCACGGCACAGCCCGGGCTAAATGGGCCAGACCCGGCATTGCCATGGGCCATGCCTGGGCCTGGAGGCTAGGCACGCGGGAGGCCACGGCACGGCCTGTTTAATTTTTTTTCTAAAACATTTTATATATACTTTACCTAAATGACAGTCCAATAGACCTAAAATAGAGCCCAATAAGCTAAAAAAACAGGTGGCCCAACGTGCTAAACATGCCACGGGAGAGGGTTCGATATGTGTACCAGTTATAGCTGGCCAAACGGCCCGTACTTCGCCGGCCGACCCAGAACCACGTGTGCTCGGTCCGCCACGCGGCTAAACGGGCCATGCCAGGCCTGCGGCATGGCTGTGGCCGTACCTGGGCTATGAGGCACGCGTGTCGGCACGACATGACCCATTGTTTTTCTTTTCTGATTTTCACGTTGAAGCAAGTTTTTCACTAAATATACTCATGTGATCCCGAGCTCCAGTGATCCCGGATGAACAAAAAAATCCAAAAAAAATATTAAAAACTTCAATTTTTTTTGACTTTTTTGGCAAGAAACATGGATGTTTTGTCTACATGCATGCAAATCTTTATGATGAAATTACATTTGTGGATGTCTGGATTTTTTTTTGAAAATTGACGTTCCAAAGTGCTTCCAAAAATACCTTTTGAAATATGAATTTTTCCTTTTTGCCCACACCTCCACACATGTAATTTCATCATGAAAATTTGCATGTGAAAGATTGCGGATGTCGCCTAGAGGGGGGGTTGTCGGTGTGAAAACCGGCGGATCTCGGGTAGAGGGTCCTGATCTGTGCGTCTTAGGCTAATGGGAACAGGAAGTAAGGGACACAATGTTTACCCAGGTTCGGGCCCTCTCAATGGAGTTAAAACCCTACTTCCTGGTTGATTAATATTGAAGATATGAGTAGTACAAGAGTAGATCTACCACGAGATCGTAGAGGCTAAACCCTAAGAGCTAGCCTATGATGGTATGATTGTAATTGTGATCGGCCTTCTAAGGACCATCCTCTCCGGTTTATATAGATACCGGAGAGGGCTAGGGTTTACATGGAGTCGGTTACAAGGAAGGAAATATAATATCCGGATCGCCAAGCTTGTCTTCCACGCAAAGGAGAGTCCCATCCGGACACGGGCCGAAGTCTTGAGTCTTGTATCTTCACGCTTCAATAGTCCGGACGATGTATATAGTCCGGCTGTCCGGATACCCCCTAATCCAAGTGTCAGGACCCCGATCCTAAGTCACACCGATCTAGCATGTAACACATCATATCACTTTGCGGCCTCACGCACGGTATTCCCACGGGTGCCACCTTACCTGGCCCGGGACCGTTTGCGCCTTTTGACTCACGTATATGATAGTGCCGCTAGCATCCATATGACAAAGAACCCGGGCTGACATGGCTAGTCATGAACCCAAAGTGGCACTAACTTACAGGGACAGGCATACATGACCCAACAACGAACGTGTCGGTCATCAGCGAGTGAATCCCGGCTGTAGCACTGGGCTAGCAAGACTCCGATGAACTGGGCTGTAGCGGGCTAACAGGACTCCGGAATTCATCGCGTGACATTTCCCCGAGGGGGCAGACACCGGAATGAAGAAGGACACATGCCGGCCAGCCTAAGTGTTCCGGAGCAGTAGCAAGCTACCATGGCTCAGTGGAAACACAAGGAGACATTTCCCGGTAAGAGAGGCTACTAAGGATAAACAACTAGATAGTCAAATCCCACACATACCAAGCGTTTCAATAACATACACACAATATGCTCGATATGTGCAAATACAACATGGCATCACAACATGACTCTACAACTCAAGCATTTTATTCAATAGGCTCCGAGGAGCGAGATATTACAAACATGGGTCTCATGACCCAACACTCAGAGCATACAAGTCAAGCACAAGCGGAAACTTAACATGTCTGAGTACAGACATCTACAAAAGAAAAAGGCTAAGAAGTCTGACTGTCTATCAGATCCTGTCGAGGGCACAAGATCGTAGCTGAGGTAACAAGCTAAACATCGAAGTCCACGTGGAACTACTAGCGAGACTGAAGTCTCTCTGCAAAAACATAAATTAAGCAATGTGAGTACAAATGTACCCAGCAAGACTTACATCAGAACTAACTACATATGCATCATTATCAACAAAGGGGATGGTGGGGTTTAACTGCAGCAAGCCAGCTTTGACTCAGTGGCTAACCTGAACTACGACTGCAAGTAACTCTTTTGAGGTGGCGCACACGAGTCCACATATTCACCATATCAATACACCACTATGGATCCGCTCCCGTCTCCCTACGAGAACGCCATCCATAGCACTCACGCTTATCTTGCGTATTTTAGAGTATCCACTTTCACTTGTCTATGAACTGTACAGGCAACCCAGAAGTCCTTTACCGCGGACACGACTATTTGAATAGATCATATTAACCCTGCAGGGGTGTACTTCTTCACACACGCTCTCACCACTTACCGCCGTTTACACGACATGTACTCGGCAACCTTCAAGCGGAAGACCAGCGAGGGTGTCGGCCACGACCTGACTAACCACACAAGTCTCTCATCCAGGTTTATCGCCTATTCGGGTTCCATCCGCAAGGAGATCCGGCCGGGGTGTCGCTCACGGCCCCAAACGATGTGAGCAGGGTTCCCAAGCCCACCATCCGGGTGCCACTTGGTACACCGTGCCACTGTGCCTAGTCTGTCCCAAGCCCACCTGTACCGGGTGCCACTTGGTAGACTACTAACACTACCTACAAACACCAGAAACTAGTTGCAACTCCTGGACAGAGATCGAGTTGATTAATAAGTCGAGAGAGTCAATTAAGGATCCCAATGTGTGGTAGTAGCTGTTCATGGATCACAAACATAGAACTCAGTTCCTGAGGATGGCTGCAATGAGACAACCCACCATGTACTCCTACATGGCCTCTCACCGCTACCTTTACCAAATCGTGTTCACACACTTAGCTCTCAACAGTAGGACATGTTCACCACCTCCGATTCATCCCCGATGAATCAGACCTGACACAACTCTAAGCAATAGCAGGCATGACAACAAGCATGATTGAGTAGGCACATCAGGGCTCAAACAACTCCTACTCATGCTAGTGGGTTTCATCTATTTACTGTGGCAATGACAGGTCATGCAAAGGATAAAGGGGTTCAGCTACCGCAGCAAGTAACAGATGAATCGGTGTTGTCCTAATGTAGTAAAAGAGAGCAGGGGCGAGAGAGTGGGATTTTATCAGAATGAACAAGGGGGTTTTGCTTGCCTGGCACTTCTGAAGATAATATAGTTCTTCATCGGTGTCATCGAACTCATCGTCGGAACGTCGTCTACTGAGAGGGAACAATTACCGGCAAGAGAGAGAAAACACAATCAATGCAATGCGACAATATGATGCATGAATGTGACATGGCAATATGCTGTGGTTTGAGCTAATGCAGCTAGCAACAGGTTAAATGAAGTTGGTTTGAACCCTAGGTTCAAATTCAAACTCCATATGTGAAGGTTTAAATGTCATTCAATTGATTTGACCTAAACAGTGAACAAAACTTGTTCTAACATGCATGAAAATGGTACAGATGGATATATTGGATTTTCTAATCATTTTTCATATATAAATGTTTTGATTTGGAGCTACGGTTGAATTTCTATGAATTTTAGAAGTTTAGGACATTTTCTGGAATTTCCTGAATTGAAATAAATCCAGAAAATACATGTTGCGTCAGCATGACGTCGCCCTGATGTCAGCAGGTCAACTGGGCGGGTTCAGGTCAAACCTGACCAGTGGGGTCCACTGGTCAGTGACTGGGGCTGATTATTGTCGCTGACATGTGGACCCAGTCAACAGCCACGTCAGCAGGGTCAACTTTGACGCGTGGGTCCCGCTGAGTTAATCTAAACTAAACAGGAAATAAAACCCGGGGTTAATTAGGGCATGGGGCCCATGTGTCAACGACACGGAACACTAACTAAACGCGATTAGTACCTAAACTATCGTGCCACGTCAGCCACCGGAGTTTCACTGGCGACGACCATTTCACGCGGCGGAGATCGTCGGGATTTCTCTACAGCCCACGGTTTGAGGCGGGGTTTGCTCCTACGTGTTCCTGGGAGCAAGCTGCGTCGACCAGTGGTGGTGGCCAGAGCTGCGGTGGCTAGGATCAACGGCGGCGACCAAAACGGCGAAGGGCGAAGTTCGGGCGAGGTTGGGAATGGTGCTATGGGGCACGGCGGGGCGAACGGCCGGGTGCTACGGCCTCCTGGTGATGTGCTGAGCACGGTTACGCGCTCAGTTTCGAGCTTATGCGTCTGTGGCCACGACGACGACATGGACGGCGGAGCCGAGCTCTCCACCGTGATGACCAACGGGGTTAGGGGGCAGCTCGAGCGACATGGCTAGGGGGAGAAGGAAGAGGAGCTCACGGTGAGTGTAGCGGTGGCCTCGGAGAGCTCGGGGAAGTGCTGGTGATGGCAGGAGGTCGCCGGTGATCTCGGCGATCCAAGGAGGAAGAAGATGTCAGGGGCGGCGCTTCGGGGGTCTTCCAGTCGCGTGGCTCGGTGAGGGGGCTGGCGACGAGGTGCAGGAGCTCGGGAGCAGCTCGGGGCATCGTCGGGACGGCGTTGGTCGCGGCAACGGCGAACGGCAGTGATGGGCGTGTTCGGTGGCATCGTGGGGAGAGAGCAGAGGAGGGAGAGAGAGTGCAGCGAGTAAGGGAGAGGAGAGGGGGTTTCGAGGCATCTCCAGGCGCGGGATTGGGTTGACGGAGAGCGCGACACGACGAAGCAGGAGGTGGCCGAAGCCGCACGCGCGCGCGCCA